ATCGAAACAGTTTTAATAGTTTTGCATACTAATCCTTTAGTGTATCCGAATTCATAGCTCCTTCTTCTGTGTTCTTCAAAGGGATCTGACATTTAAAACAGACATACCATTTTACAAAATAATTAATCTGTGCTCCTTATGTAGAAAAAACAAAGTTTACAAAATGTGTATCTAAGGTTCAGAGTTCATGCTTACCATTTCAGGTATTTCATTAAAGGAGGCAATGTTCATGTAACGATGTATTGTATTATTAAACAATATACCACTAAAACAGAAGTGTCATTGGAATCTTCTCTTTGTGGCCAAGCCAATCATGGTTAATGAGGGTGGAGGTAGGGATATCTTAGAATGATTAACCGCAGACAATATGTATGTTTCTTTTACAGCAGCAATAGTTATCGAAGCAGAAAAAGAAAACATGATTCCTTGGTACGACAGAACTGACTTTGATTCAGTGTCTGATGAAGATGATGAGAAGCCATCATCCGGTAACCATGAACAGCAAACCACATCAACTTCAACACCACAAAGATCAAAGACCAAAACTAAGGATGCTCCATGCACGGAGTGTAACCAGAATGGTTTGTTATATCCGCTCGATGTTTGGTGTTTGCTTGCTCAATATATTGAGCCTGAAGATGTGCAGAAGTTTGCACTGATCTGTAAAGGAGCAAGGCAAGCCACAAACATGAGGACATTTTGGTTAAGGATCTATAAATGTTGCATTAATGGGCCAAATAAGCTACCTGAAAGACTACAACCAGATAGAATAGAGTGTCGTCCTGGACTACGTGCAAGAATTATCAGAGCTCTTTTCTATGGCTATGAGCCATTTAGGACTTGCATTGTGTCTCATAATAATTTAAAGGATCCAGATGTGCTGGAGGGTCATATGTGCATATCAATGTGGTGCAAGCAGGCATTGTGCAAAAAGCGAGCTAAAAAAATATGGGCATTTTATTTCAAGTTTTCTCAGAAACCATCTGGTATGAATAGGAAACCTCGTTATTTCTCCAAGGAATGGTTGGCACAAGTTGATGACTTAAATTATAATCCTGAAGATGGCCATGCCATCCTTCAAATAAATTGTGTTAATTACCTCCCTGTCTCCCCTGTGCAAGGTCATGTATTGACAAAAGCCTCCATCGGTGTTAGTCGTGATATGAAGCATAATAGTGTTAAGTTAATTTTTCATTCGCCTCGTAGTGATGGCAGATACAGAAAGGATGAAGGAAAGAGCATTATCCTAGAGCCTGCATATGATGCTAAAGTAGTTAATTGGTGGAGTCCTCTTTATCCTCATTGTGAGGATGCATTGTAGAGAATTTAACCTTTAATCCTCAAGAGTGATTGGAATCTTATTTCTCCTTACATGTTACTGTTGAATCAAACATCAAGGTCATGAGAATAAGGGAAATGATCATTCACCAGAGAAGCTCTTCGTGTTTGAACAAATTTTCCTTGTCAACACCATTGGAAATGTATGGAGAACAGTCTAGAGAACAGGCTGAAAAGGGTTAATGAGTTTTACATTTTGATATTTATAATTTGGAGGTTTTTAGTCAGGGTTTTGTAGACTTTAATAAGTTTAATGCTGAGACCTCATCAAAAGTGGTCATTGTAATCAATGCAGTAAAAGGAAAATATTTCCAATGTCTAATGATAGTATTAGATTGAAGTGATAAATTTGAACAGTCTTAAGAAGGAAGACAGAGAAACTAATATTTCAGGTAGCTTATAGAAATGATTAATTGTCCCCAATTATAGTAAAATAATAATTGTCAAAGAAGTAAACTCAATTCTGAAGGGTAGTAAATGTGCTTTTCAAAAGTAAGATATGGGGTTTTTGTTGATTGAGTTAAATAAACCTGCTGAGTTGTAGTGGAAACTGGTTTCCTATATCAGCACAAGTAATCAGAACAATTGCAAAAAAATATGTGCAATGCTTTCTTTATTTTACATAATTGTTTCAATAACAATAAGAATATACATTGGAATTGGAAAGCACCTGAGCAATTATATTAAAATAATGATTGAACTCAGGCTCATTGACTGTTTTTGAATAATTTCCCCGACTTCGTCTCTGGGATTGTTCAACAATATTATTGAATTCAGTGTCTACAATTTTCGCATGGGTGTACGATCCTGACGTGATCAAATTCAATTATTAGTTTTCGCCCGCTCGTTTTGTCTAGTGGCTCCGGCGAGATTTGGCAAGGTGTCGGCTTAGTGCAGATACCACTTCTAAGTTTTCCATTCGTTGTTTCTCATGAAAGTGGTTCAACTGCAATTTGAAGACAAAAACAATTGATAAAATAAATGAACAACCAAGATTATGCACTAATTAATCAAATTCGGCTTGTTTCTCTAACTCCTAAGAGGGATCACCTTGTAGCTTTTTTTTTTCTATCGCTACTTATTCAGCAGATAGGTAGAGATTCATATTTTGATGTGAAACCAATACTCTTGACTAATTTACAAGGAAATGTACAGCAGTCAGAAAGAAGAATTCCTAACCACATTTTGATCATTCAAAAGATTGAAGATTGCGTTTTCTCGAGCTACTTTGCTGAACTAGATGCCAGATATGCGGAGAAAAAGTTGGAAAAAAAAACTGCACGAGACTTACATGGTTTGCACACACAACAGGCTGTTGGGGAGGGGGGTTCAGGAACTGCTGCCAAATACTCACCCTTTAAGGAGAGAGGAAAGGATACAGCCTTAAAAACAAAGCTCCGTTCGAGTACACACTCAAATTTAATCGAGACAGTCAGTACAACAAACTTCATTGCAGTAAACGTTCACGATAAAAGGAAGACAACAAAGTCGAGTCCTCTTTCGTCTCTCACTGAGAGTCGTATTCTAGTGTAATTCTAGGCCCCTACGATGCTTTAAAGGAGTTTGGAAACGAGAATGTTTACTCTAACATTTTTTTTTTTAATTTTTGTTATTTGACTTCAGGAAAAGCCGAAAGTCCCACGGTGCTTATGAAGTCTCCCTTTCAAATGTCAGTCCTAGTGGACAAAGATCAGTAGATTTTTGAACTTAGCCTATATTAGTTCACTTTCGTTTTTGATAGAATTGATGATTTTGATGATGGCTGTCAATAAGTACAAATGTCTAAAGAAAAAAATAATTTTTCGTGCACTTACTTCTCCACACGAAGATCCTTTTGTAAAACACATGGACTTTGTTAAAACCATGAGCCCCAGGCACGCGCTCAGATGACACATGTCGTCCGTAAACCAGGGTGGATCCTTAGGAAGAGGCTGCGATGATGGGGTTTTAATCAATCATGGATACATTTTGGTACTGTAAAATTTTTTATAAGTCTAGCAGCATCCGGGAATAATAGACTGATTTAGTAGCATTTAAGTGGGTGCGTTCAAAATTTTACTCTTAAGTCAGTCTTTAATGGATAATTACTGAGGCATATGGCATTATGAGAAATATTGCAGCCAGCTGAGGCCGTAGGCCGAAGCTGGCAGCAATATTTCTCATAATGCCATGTGTCGAAGTAATTATCTATTATGATGAATATATGAAGTTCATATATCTATTATAATTATTGATCCCCATGAAATCCTATTGTTCTGTGTCTTTGTTGGATCTTCGATTTTAGTCGCACCTATGTGTGATAATTGTGATGCTCATTGCTATTGTTCTTTGTTGTGATATCTTAGATTTTAATTGTGCCCAGGGTTGTTATAGTTGTTCAAAACAGTTCTAATGATGGAATTGATTCGTGCAAGGCGTGTAACACTGCTAATTTGTATACTTTATAAGCCAGGGAATTCAGTCATTTTACTCAGTGCGAACCTGGGTTTAGAAAGAGGATGGATTCGTCGGAAGACGAATGATTATTTATTACACAGAGCTCTACGAAGGCAGATATCTCAGCAGAAATTGAAGATAATGTAGTGTAACGTTTGGACATTTCTGTCAGTGCTTTAATTCTTTATCGACTTTTAAAGGCGGCGTTTCCATTTTCTTTTTTCAAATAGGGCAAAGATTTAGAACGCCAATAACAACTTCAGAATGCGAGAAATTTGACAAAAGTTGGGTTTCAGACGCCAGCCGCCGGAAATGGGCGTGGGTTTTGAAAGTCTTTGAGGAGTGGAAGAAGCAATAATTTTAATAATTGTAACCTTGCACACTGCGCAATATTTTTAATATGCTTATTTAGCGCGTTTAATTATATTACCCCTGATAATTTCCCTGCTAACAAAAAGGACCGCCTCCGTTTTCCTCATACAGTTGTTTTGTCATCTAAAACACGAAGGCGCGCTAGACTCATTTGTCACTCACCGTTGACGTGTGCGGGTGAAATTTAAATGCTGGTAGACGAACTAAAGGAGCTAACGAGATATCTATTGTTTACTTCCACCAGCATGGTGGCAAGAGGTAACGTGCGAACCTTCGATCTCAAATTTACCGCCACAGATAAAGACAGTTTCCATTGGAGAAAGGAAATATAAATCTCAAAAATTCTTGTATTGTGATGAAGACATAAAACAATTTTGAGGAATGCGCCCGCTTTTCACTGCTTTGGAGTAGCTGCAGCTCAAGCTGACTTGACTCTAAGAGTTCTACATCACACGACGGTTGATTGATAAATGGTCCAGTGGGACCTAAGGCTCCTTTTATCCCGCGCCTTCGTGTTTAAAGACTACACTCGTTGATTTAACACAGAGAGAGAACAATAGAATTTCATGGGGATCAGTAATTATTCAATGAAAATATCTGGCTCGAAGAGTTACACAGGATGAACCACTTGTCTTGCTTCTCTTTAGTCTTTGTCTTTGAGGAGTGTCTTAATGGATTTGACAGTAAGCAGTAAAAGGGCCAAAACATTTAGCCGTTAGGCCTAAGAAACTGACAAATTCTAACCGTCAGTTGTTGGTCGTAAAAAATGCTTCTTTTACTAGCAAAGGAAGGAAGTAAACCGTTGACCGTAAAATGGCTAAATTTTTCACCATAAGCCGTAAAAGCCATCACCGTTGTGAGACCCTCTTTTTGAGGGTTCTTGGCTCCATGAGAGGTTTTATTCGCTCCAGACTTAGCTTGAATCAATTTCCATGTTTGAGCAACTGCATACCCACCCCTCTCTTATCTCCAACTTGTTATCAGTTGACTGTTTTTCATTTAGGGGAGGGGTAGGTGCGCAGTTTTTCATAATAATCCATTACTTGTGAAAGCGTCTGTGGAAGTTTTTAAAGTCGGTATCACGTTAACAGAATTTGTACCAAAACTAACAAATTTGTTATTTCCACCTTTATCGTAGCATAGATTTGGTCCAGACCACACCTGTGGCTTGTCTTCCTTTGGCCAGCTCTCACGTTTAAAAATTACGCCAGCCAGGGAAATATGAATAAGAAAAGCTTGGTAAAGAGACAAAAGTTAAACCAAAAACGGACAAAAATATAACATAAATCTCAGATGACGAAAGATTTTGTTAAACCTTTAAGAATAAAAAGCATCGCTATCAACAAATGACGTTTCAGCGACAATCTGTCATCATTAACAAATGCAAATGAGAAAAGATTACCTTTGATGCATATAGAAAACGAAGGAGTGAAACTTAACGTTAAAATGTGGAGAACAAAAGAATGGAATAACTAATTTAAGTAAAGGCTTTGCTAGAGCGGAGTCTGTTTGAGTATTCATGGTTGACCTATACTCTCTTTTCCTTAATGAGCAACTTCTCAGAAATGAAGGCACTCAGACATTCCACGGCATTTCTTCAAGAACCTAAATTGTTCGTAATGAGATAACAAACTATGAACGAGGGTTAAAATCCATTAGACTGATATACTTAAAAAGTGAAAACGTCGAAGGCGCGCTCTGATTGGTTACTCAAACTCTGAATATCCTTTGCTGTTTACTTCCCAGGAACTCGCAAGGGATTAGCGCCCGATAATATTGTAATCGTTGCGGGAATAAATGAGTTGAAATCATATCTTTCCGCCATATTATCTCACTTTTTTAGCATATACTAAAACAAGCGTTCACCAGAGGTGGAGGTGGCTTGCGGTGGATGTTTACCTCGCCGCTTCGATCGTGGAGTCGGTAACTATCCACTAATAGTCACCTCCACTTCGGTAACTAGTTGTTAATAACATCGTCACAAGTAGCTCCACTGTCCAGTGTTTACGAAATGGTGTTTTCACGTTTTATAAAATAAAAATGCATTCCGAAGAATTCTTACACGACAAAATCGCTTACCATTAACGAGAATATAAGTAGCCAGAGAGGTAACCATCGGCAGAATATCACAAGTAAAAGACAAAACAAGTCGTTGCTTGCACCAAGAGCACAAAGTATACCAGTTTTAAATGAACTGCGACTTCTTACATGAACACATACCACTAACTTACCAACGCCAAAATGAAGTACCACAACAGAGGCCTAAATAGAATACGACAACACCTTTTCCATAATCGTGTTTAACGTCACAGGTGGGGTGTAATATTTACTTAGCCGGTGTCACTTTAACATCAGTGATAGCAAGACAGGATAAAGTGTCAGACTTGTTCCTGATTGGCCTTTTAGCTATTTAGACCCATTAAGACGTACTACGTTTTGTCAAATGGTGGTCGCGAGAACGATATTTCCGGATTTCTCTCGTACTAGTGAGTCATATTTTTTCTATGAAACTTTCTTCTTGTCAGAATCATTGCTTGAGGCTCGATTAGCTGATAAGTTATCGCCTGGTGAAAGACGCGCACACTTAGGAGAATTTGCAAGGTATCTATGGAGCATTGACAGTCGGTTGACGGATAATCGCCTCCTAAAAAATTCACTCACACAGGAGTAATGTGGACATCATTTTTAACTATTCCCACTTTCAGAATTTATCGGCATACCACAAAAGCTAAGGGAATGGAACTAATCGCACTGATCATACTCAGACGTTATGCGAACGAAAAGTTTCGATCCTGAGAGCCTTGGCTATATTTGCAATCCAACAAATGTTTAAGGTCTAATCTGTATCCTACAGTGGGTTGTGTCACTTCATGGCCGATCTCTGATCGACTGATTCTCTTTCAGAGGTGATCCAGAATAGATGTCCACGGAATTCCGCCGTTGCAAGCCGAACTGAGTCAGACGTGTAAGTTCACTTTTTCCTTCTAAAAATATTTGTGAAACTCGGCACCCTACTAAAGCACATAGTCACTCTTCAGAAGACAAGTTTACAAACTGTGAAATATATTAGAAGCGGCCTTATCTCATACTGCGACCATTGACTGTTGCGAGTGTTTTACATGGTAAATCAAAAGTCGAGGAGTCCCATAGATAGGTCCCAGATTTTTATTTTTTTTAGCACGTGGCTAATATAGGGTCCGATGAAGATAAAATGCAAAGTTGTTTGAGGACCTCACTAAAATTCTGGTGAAAGGTGATGGGAGCGTGAAAACACGAGCGATAGAAGAAGTCTACGTGCTCAACTGACTTACAGATCCTTCTAATGATTTGTCCATCGAGAAAAGAGAAACATACCAGCAAAAGCTTATGCTGCACAACTTAGTCGTTCTCGCACGTTCAACCTAATTCGGAACCGATCTTCGACAAATTTCTCATTTAATTAATTTTTGGAGCCAGGGGCGTTGTTGTTCATGGCCATAAAACTGCAAGTGATGAATAAAATCAAGACCGGGAATGTTTTTGTGCCCTTCGGCTGTTTACCGAGGCGACGACAGTTGACGATTCCCTGAATGTCTTCTGCTATGGACTGGGTAGAGACTCCGGCGATATCTGACATGACATACCTCCTCTCGACTTTTTCATTTGCTGTTTCTCATGAGAGAGGTTCAACTGCATTTTGTAGACAAAAAATAAATGAGCAATTAAGATTATGTATTACAGGGAAGGAACGTGGTTCTTTGCTTCTCTAACTCCTTGGTGAGATCACCATGTACTCTCACATTTTGATATCAATGCATTATCTGGCAGACAGGTAATGAGATTGTTATTTAATCTAAGACCATTTTTGTTGGCTGATTTCCAAGGCAATGTAAAACAGTCGGAAGAAAGAACTCCTTATCACATCCTTGGATTCATAATAGTCCTAGCAGATGAAAGAATTTGATGTGGTTCAGTAGTGCCTTGCGCCTTCCGCTCGAATTCGTTGAAATTAGATACAGGGTATGTAACAAGAGCATTGAAAAAAAAAAAAATAGAATAACGCGAGACTTACATGGTTTACATATGCAACAGGCTGCCGGAGAGGGGGGGTCAGGAACTGCAGCCAAATACTGACCCTGTAAGGACACAGGAAAGGATACATTTGAAGAAAGAAAGCTACTTTTATATTTCAAACACTCAAGTTCAATCGAGACAACACTTTAACAAACGTTATGCGCCGATTAATTCGCAGCTTCAACATCCCCCCTAACGGGACAATCCACGGAATTTGAATCTTTCCAGGGCGGGGTGGAGGGGTCGAACAGGGAATGGCTCGACTTTCCAGCGGAATACAAGTATATATATATCAATCTTTAATATCTGGAAAAAAAAACTTTCACATCGTAGAATAATGCGTACGAGTAAAAAACGTAGCAATTGAGCCAAAAAGTAAATCGTGACTGCGAAATTCTACAACATTCGTAATCACACAGCAATCCTTTAAATACTGAATTATGCTTAAGTAGGAGACTTGAACGCAATTTTTGCTCGGGGGGGGGGGGAGGAAGGCGGGAATTTGAACGAACCAATTTTCAAACGTTCAAATGCTCCCGGGGGGTAGGGGGAATGTTGAAGCTTCGAATTGATCGATGCCAAAAGAAATATCGACGCATTACTGGAGTAAACATTGTTGATGATATTGAAAAAAAAGTCGAGGCCACTTCGACGCTCCTCACCAACAAAGTCTGAGGAAGTCTAGAAACACGTCATCATTTTGTTTTTCATTTAATTGGAGGAAATACCGAAAGTTCTAATATATTAGACAAAGTGATGGAGTGCATGATTGAACTTAGCCTAATGTACTCACTTGCACTAAGACAATTGATGATTGTGATGATGATGATGACTTAAATAAATACACATGACCAAGAAAAAGGAAAAATTTTTAATGAACTTACCGGTCCACATGCAGCTCCTTTCAGAAAACACATGGACTTGGTTATAACCATCGCACCTGCGCATACGCTCATATGACACATGTCGTCCGTAAACCAGGGTGGGTCCTTTGGAGGCGGCTGCGATGATAGGGTTTTAAAAATTTGTATGCATTGAGGTACTGTGAAAGTTTGAGGTACTGTGAAAGCGTCAATTGAGATAAGTAAATATTAAGGCAGCATTCGGAATGTTAGAATAAAACTAGACTTCGATGGAACGATCCAGTTTGATGGACTGTACAGACTCCGCATGGAGTGGCCCACTTTCTTTGTTTTGTACAAACCTTAAAGGGTTCTTGTCTCTGTTCTAAATATCATTAGCACTGTGGAGTCCTTTTAAGGTATTATGATTAGCAGCATTTTTATTAAGTCTTACAAATTTCGGTTTTCCATCTTTATCGAAGCATGGCAGTGGTCCTGACCACACTTGGGGCTTGTGTTCCTTTGGCCAGCCCTGCCGTTTAAAAATTACGCCAGCCAGGGAAAAACGCATAAAAAGACCTTGGTAAGAAAACAAAAAAGAAATCAAAAACAAAACGAAAAATAAAGAAAAAAGCATTGGACATAAATCGCGGATGAAGAGAATAAATGTAAACAAAGGTTAAACTGCACCACAACGTCGTCACATGTATCTTTACTTTTCAGCGATGTCTGAACAGTTCCGAAAACTCCGAAAGGATATTTATCACAAACAACTTCGTTAGCTTTCAGTCTATCATCAACGTTAAAGTTTGTTGGATCTGCAGTCATTTCCTGTTAATCAGTAATTATATATTACGGAGAAAGTTAATCGCTCTTGATACCCGTCAAAGCTAACACTTATTGACTTGATTTGATTGTCATTGATCTTCAACAGAACAGTTTAGGCGGAACATTAACCCTTTCTTTCACACAATGCAATTATTTGTACGTGTGATCACTCCTCCAGCAATTCTTAAATCGAATCATCGCTTTAGTTCATTCTACACATGTCAGCGACAAGGAAACATCTTTGGTCTGAAGTCTTAGCTTTCGGGTTTCTTCGTTTTCTCTACAACTGCTAGGAAATCGTATTTCACGTACAAAATTTTGTGAAACAAAAAGACAGTTAACATTAATTTTCGAAGAATATTCATACGACAAAAACGCTTACCATTAACGAGAATGTAAGTAGTCAAAGAGATAGCCATCTTCAAAATACCACGAGTTATAGACAAAACAAGTCGTTGTTTACACCAAGAGCACAAGGTTTACCTGTTTTAAATCAACAGCTGCGAATGAACATACTTACTACAAGCGATTAAACAACTCTGTAATAACTCAAATAAATGAATCCCATCTCTTTGACAAGTATGTCCACTTAAACGCCAAAATTAAGTATTACAATAGACATTTTAAATAGAATGCGACAACACCTTTTCTAAAATCGTGTTTAATGTCACAGGTGGTGTGTTGTGCACTTAATCGGTGTCACTTTAAACAATTTGACATCAGTGTTACACCTGTTCCTGATTGTCCTTAGATCTATTTAGACAGGTACTTTTGTCAGAGGGTAGCCTCTAGAGTGATAGTTTTGGGTTTCTCCAGTAATTGTGAGACGTATTTTTCTTATGTAATTTTCCTCTCGTCGGTTAGCCAATTTGATCAGTTTTCCAATTGTGTCCCATGATCCACGCAATCTAACGTTCTGTTCACGTGAGTTTATAACAGAGCTTTGCTGAAGGCCAAGCCTACACAAGAGTAGCAACGCGGAAAATAGTAACTATGGAAAAAGATGATGGTAAACCTTCCCTTTAAAGGAACAGATCTCAGTTTTTTGTCCGCAACAAATTTTCCCCGCAGTTCTGAGACATATTTAAGTGTCAAATATTATTTGCTGTCTCATCCTTGGCTTGTCAAATCAAATTACAAATGATTTTTATTCCTACTTTTTTCTGAATGGTTGGATAGATTGATAGATAGATAGATATATTGCTAACTCAAACATCACACCCACAGGCTGAGAAACGTTTAGAAGAACAACAGAATACAAATAAATGTCAGGAGCTGAAACGTCAATTTAACTGATAGATTCCATTTTGCCGTGTTTCTGTCCAGCAACAGACCACAAATGACGTCAGACTGTGACAAGAACACTGAAAAAAGTGGCACACGCAGCACAGTCGGGTGTGTGTATGTTCCTGTTTCTCTCTCTCTCTCTCTCTCTCTCTCTCTCACACATGAACACATACGCACACACGCACACACGCACACACGCACACGCACACACAATTTTGACGTCCTTTTTGAACGATCACCGCACAGTCCAACGGCGACGTGGTATCTGCTTCTTTTTTCGATAAAAATGCAGAAAATTGTTTATGGGGAAGTCATCAATACGTAGCGACTGCAAACACTGCGCTGAATTCAAGTCATAGTCGCACAAATGGCTATTGTGGTCTTGTCATTATTATGAAAAATATAGAAAGAAAGGAATTCCGCAAAAATAAACAAAAAATTAGTAATGGAAAGAAACAAAGAGACAGAAATGAGGTGCACTTCGTCCTTCATACAAGATACTTCAAAACAATTGGTTTGTTTTACTATCAACATCACAATTTAGAGTAGAACGCTTTCCCTCATACCATCCATGATTTCATCAGTATATCCATGTTCACCATATACATTTCTCTATACATTTCACTCATTATTGACATGGAGAATTCGTTTAACAATCAAAGTCTCTTAGGCTGGCGATCATATGTGTCGATCATATCATCTTACTGAATGATTCAGCCCTAGACTGTAAGGAGAAAATAGGTGTGGTCACTCTGATAGAGCCAAGGGTTGACTAAAGAATCAATACAAGGTCGGGCATACACGAGACAAAAATTCAAACCCTTGAGTAAAACACGAGGGCGACAGAAACATTTTCATTTGCGTATGCACTCACTCGGGCTTGTATTTGCGTCGCACGCTTGAACCAGGCTTGACGATCATCAATACGAAGTTAATTTTGACAATAAAAATGAAATATATAAAGAAGAAAAGCGGTCACTGAGAATCTAGGGATAATTAATAAGCCTAGTGAAAGCTGCCGTGCACTTAGGAGAATTTTTAAGGTTTCTTTAATCACAGTGTTGAGAGTGACGACTGATGATCGGCACCTACAGATTTACTCGCGCCGGTGTAATGTCCATATCTTTCATTAGCATTCCAACTTTCTATAGTTCATTGATATAAAACAAAAGTTCAAGGTGTAGGTGCACTTTTTCAGTTTATTCACAGTTTAAATTCTAGGAACTTTGGCTACATTTGCCATCCAACAAATATCTATGGTCCGATATGTACCCTACAGTGGGTTGTGTCACTAGCTGATCTCTGATCCTCCGTTACAAGTGATCCCATACTAGATGTCCGCGGAATTCCACCACCGCTACCCGACGTCAGCTGTCGCGACGTATGTTTTTGACGTTGGTCAACAGGACACAGCCCAATGTCACTCTTGTTCCTACGGTGTCCAAGGTGACGAGGTAAAACGCTAAGGGGACGCCTACCACCAGGTGGACTTGAATTGTCAGCATTCACATGATGGAGTATTGCTGACAAAGCGCGACCACCATCACTAGAAATCCTTTGGTGGCCCACGGGGGCATTGGAAACTGAAGGATGTATAGGGAAAGGATTTTTCCGGCAAGGTGGCGGGGTGTACCTGGGGTCATGTTCACTGTTACAAAGCCTTCTATTTTGTCTTGAGGGCCTCACGTTAACAGTCACGTAGGTGGGTTCGTGGATTGTTCTTCGTTGTTCTTGAGAACTTGGCCGCGGGGAATGTCTCGGAGAACGGGGAGATACACTTGATGGCTCGTCCATATTCAGGGGACACCGCTGCTCATCAGCCACTGTTTGATCGATAGGGTCTGTCTCACCTTGTCTGATTTCTGACTTCGGGGTCTGAGGTAGGACCTGCAATAGTGTATCTTGCGGGGCTGTACATCTCCTTTTAGGACACCCTTCGCTCTCAGGACTCGCCGTTAAGGGATGATAGATTCTCGTAACAGATCGTGGTCTGTCAGTGTTTGACAGCAATCGTGCTTTGTGTCTATCTAGTAAAGGCTGATACATTGCTTTAGGTGATCCTGAGGCTTTCGTCTCGTGGTCAATTATTTCATCTAAGCCACCTTGTGAACTCACTTTAGACTCGTCGTCTAACATGACTTGCTTTGATGGGGTTAAGGGCTGATAAATTCCAGAACTTGACAAAATCGTCTCATCTTCAGTGTCAGTATCGTCAACCAAGATTCCTTGTTGAGGAGAATTCTGGTGATTGATACGGAGCGGTTGATAAATACTCGCTGACTTGACTCTCTCATTTTCATTTCCAGTGTCTCTCAGAGTACTGCATTCGGTCCCAGGTCCCTCTAAAACATGGTAGAACGGTTCACCTTCTTGAACAAGACTTGTTTCGTTTAAACTTAAGGTACGATCGGGGATGCATTCAGAGGATCCTCGATCTGGTTCCAACCCGAATTGACTGGGTGATCGTCGGAGACTCTTGGAGCTTTCTTCCTCGATCCCGCTGTCATACACTAATTCATCGAGCTCGTTTTCGATGAGAACTCGAATTTGGTCTTGAAAGGTTCTGGTTGTTTGCCGTGAAGGAGAATCTCCATGTTCTGAATAAGGAATAATGATAGCGACTTAAAGTTCATATGGACTTCATATTACCTTTACGTTTACAAGTATTTATTGAGCGATCGATTTTGTAACAAGCAAGGGAATGTATAGATGGAATGGGGCAGCAACGAAATGAAAATCCAAGGACTAAAGTACCTGAAAGTAGAAAGTAGTTGACATTGACTCACCATCGATTAGTGCGGCAGGATTCACATGAGCTGAATGGTGATCTTGAAAATTAATTGAAGGAAAAGACTGGTTCTCATTGGCATCCAGGGCCACCCGTTCTTTTTCTCGTCCAGAAATGTCCAGTAAGTCTTCAGTTGAATCATGACTTCTGAGTCTGCGCACTAAACAAAGCCAAACACTTAAGATCAACCTTCAGTGGTGTCACTTTCCTAAAATGTACACACGTTTTCACAGCATCTAACTAAGAAATGGTATTTTAACTCCTCAACTAATTGTGAATAAAGATGAGAAGGCGTCTAAGAAGATGGGGAGGTTGTTAGGGCCTGCTTATAGTGAGCAAGAACTCGAAGCCATGCGTCATATTTATGTAGAATATCATGACCACCCAAAAAGAGGGTTTCCTTTCCACCAGAACAAGTTTCTTTTTCTCAACCTATTTAACATTTTGACGGCCCTTGTCGAATAAAACTACATTTATTTAACTTTGGTTATAAGCATTTCGTTTGCTCAGTTGTTCACACCACTGCACTACACTAAAAGACAATATTTGCGCGCCAACCACGTGTTTCTTAGATAAATTAGAAAAAAGAAACAACTGATATAGCAGATCGGTTCACAAAAGAAAGCAAAGTGCTTTCGCGCAACTATCACCACAAGAATTTCTGTAGACTCTAGAGGCATTCTCTTTGACTTTCAACATGAACCAATTTCAGCTGTGTTCGAGGTGAACTTAAGGATAAACGGATTGTTTTAAATTGCTTATATGTAATCTCATGCGACCCTTGCCCTTACCAGAGATGGTCCTTGCTGGGCACGAGTTCCTATTAAGACAAAATATTTGAAACTGTATTAGTACATACATTTTTCACTCACAAGCAAGCAAGAAATATTCATTTTTGTATTCTTACTATGTTCTCAGTTTGAATAAACATTCTGTACCTGGTATGAACTGGTTTCATTTCAAACGCTTCTGAATCAGGACCAGATTTCACCTTTAGGCTTCCTTTTCTTAACCTGTGGATTGAAGTGCTTTTAGTACAATTTAGAACTGAAAAGCATTAAGTGTACTTTTGTGCCAAGATTGCTGTAAGAAAGTGCGTGAGCGCTGTTTGAAGTCTTAAATAATCAGGTGTGCATTTATAATCCAGTTTGTAAGAGAGATCATGACATTAACTCCTAATGAAACACATCCCCAAGAACAACTCCATTAAGCTAAAAGAGAAGCTTTCGACCCTGAGGCGATTATGTAAGTCCGAGACCTGGGGTTTATTAGTGCGTGAGATTAGCCAATCGTAATTTACTTCCTGATGAGCTGTCTAAAAAGCGCATGGATTGAATTCATCCTTTCGTCGCGATGAAAACTCAGAAGCTTATTTTCACTGCAGTTGTTCGCTTGTGGAAGTCCCTTCCTTCAGGGATTTAACACCGTTAGAACAACCCTCCGCGCATCCGCC